TTACTGGGAATCTATCCAACGAACCTGAAATCAACAATCCAAAGAGGCTTATGCACCCCTATGTTCATTGCAGCATTATTCACTATAGCCAAGAAGTGGAAGCAACCCAAGTGTCCCTCGACTGATGATTGGATCAAGAAGAAGTGGTATATATATACAATGGAATATACTACTCAGCCATAAAAAAAGACAAAATCGTCTCATTTGCAACAACATGGATGGGTCTGGAGGATATTATGTTAAGTGAAATAAGCCAGAAAGAGAAAGACAAACACCGTATGATCTCACTCATATGTGGAATATAAACCAACACATGGACGGAGAAAACTGTATGGTGATTACCAGGGGCAACGGGGGTAGGGGGTGGGCACAAGGGATGTAGAGAGACATGTATATGGTGATTGACAAAAATGTACAACCAGAATTTCACGATGTTATAAACTAAGACATCAGTTAAAAAAAATTAACTCTAAAGTTGCTGTGTCCGTAATATTTCCCAGATTTTTACTAATAGATCAGAATCAACAGCTATTTATTGAAACCTTCTGGTTTTAGGACTTATTGTGTATGGTTACTGCTGTTAATAATAGCTACTACCCTTTGTTGAGTTCTTTGGTGAGCCGTGAACCCCTCGTATGTACCCCTCCATTAGCACACGTTGTTCCAGTGGTGGGCTCTTGCCCAGGGTCCCACAGCCATGAGCTATAGCACATGTTCTTTGCAGTGTATCCCACTCCCTCCTCTGATCCCAGCTCAGCTCATGGCCTTTCTGAGACGGCTCTGTGCCTGCGGATCCACTGCTGTAAAAGCTCTCTTGCAAGCTGGCCCAAGAGTGCCAGAGCCTGGACTAGAGCCTCAGTCTGTTTAGAGGACTTTCTTTCCTATGGGGCGCTGCTTAGAGATAACTTTGTTACTTCTTTTTATTGCTGTGCACAGTCATTTTCTGATGTGGTACTGTGCTAAAGATAGGGTTTTAATTTTAAAATGAGAAAGTCCTGTCTATACAAAGCCTACTTTGTGTTCTGAGGAAGGAAACAAATATTCGAGCTGTTTTTCTCTCATAGCAGACCCAGTCAGTCTGAATGAAAGATGAATACCAAACAGGGAATCAAAGAGCGGGAGCAAAGACCACCCCTTGGAAGACTGCTCTGGGCCTGTTGCTGCTGCCGAGCCAGGCACAGCCTCCTTGATTTCTTCCTTGTGCTATAGTCCAGATTTGAAGACAACATAGCATTATTCAAGGAGGAGGGACGTTGAGTTGAAAGCCTTAAGTGTGAAGGTTTCTAGAATGTTAGCAACGTGAGAGAAGAGACCACAGCTGAACTGTTGGTTGCAGTGTCCCCAGAACCAACAACAGTGCCTTCGGCTCTCATCTGCTGCCTAAGAGAATGGAGGACGCGTGCCCACACATAAAAGACTGTTCAAGCAGCGTTCCTCTGTGCTACCAGGAACTGGAAATAACCCACTTGCCCAGTAACAGCAGAATGGATAAATATTCCCATAATGGGATACTGCACAGCAATAAAAAGGAACAGACTACTACACACAACCACAGGGTGAATCTTTTTTTTTTTAATTGTGCAATTTTTGTTGTACATTATTGTTTATCAGTCACCATATAAGTGCATCCCTTCACCCCTTGTGCCCACTCCCCACCCCCCTAGCCCCTGGTAACCACCAAACAGTTCTGTCTGTGTGTGTGTTGGTTTATCTTCCACATGTGAGTGAAATCATGCCCTGTTTGTCTTTCTCTTTCTGGCTTATTTCACTTAACATAATACCCTCCAGGTCCATCCATGTCGTTGCAAATGGGACGATTTTGTTTTTCTTTATGGCTGAGTAGTATTCCATGGTCTATCTATACCACATCTTCTTTATCCATTCATCAGTCGAGGGACACTTGGGTTGCTTCCATGTCTTGGCTATAGTGAATAATGCTGCGATGCACATAGGGGTGCATAAGCCTCTTTGGATTGTAGATTTCAGGTTCGTTGGGTAGACACCCAGTAGTGGGATAGCTGGATCATAAGGTATTTCTATTTTTAATTTTTTTTTCTGTTTTCCATAGAGGCTGCACTGTTTGCATTCCCACCAGCAGTGGATTAGGGTTCACCACAGGGTGAATCTTACAGACATAATGTTCACAAAAGATGCCAGACACAGAAGAGGGCATATTATGTACAGTCCATTTACATGAAGTTCAGAAACAGTCATCTCTGGGGCTGGAAGTCAGAGGAGTGGTCCCTTGGGCGAGTCAGAGGCAGGTTTCAGCAGGGTCTGCTGGGCTGTCTGCTCTGTGTCTTGATCTGGGTGGTATGTTAGGGGTGTACCCATGTATAAAAATGTGTTGCACTTTACACTTAAGGTTTGTGCACTTTGTTATACATAAAAATGAAAAGAAAAGGTGTACCTGATTGGGAAAATAATCAAATAGCCCCAAACATTCTGTATGTCTGTGATCCATTTGTATAAGATTTTAAATATAAATTGCTGCAATTTGTCTTTGATACTACTATCTTCAGATCTGGAATATTCTGTAATGGGGAAACAGGAGAATTTAGCTTCACCCAGTAGCAGAAACACATTAGAACTTCTTTCCCACAGGCTGTCTTTGGCTAGATCGTCTTTAACTCCCCATCTTGGCGCTCGTCTTCACTCGGTCTGTGTTGGAGGTAGGAGGAAAGGCTTAGATACTTCCATTCACGGAACACAAGTGGACTCTATATGGATCAGCCTTTCTCATTCTAAAATTGAAATCCTGTCTTTGGGAAAATATAACATCAGGGAATTACTGTGCATAAAGAAAAATAAGTCCTTTCATATGATTTATATGGAAATAAAAATAGATAACTCATGTAAAGACATGAAAGAAAGCACCTTATACTCTAGAAGCGAACAATAAATGAGTTGTTTTTATTTAGGTAAAAAGTAAATAAACTATTTCCTGCACATAGAAGGTATCTGCTGAGTATGTGTGGCCTGACTGAACCCTCCTCGTGTTGCCTCAGACCACTAACCCTACCCTTCCTAGCCACAGGCTTCTCACGTGTAAAACACCTTCCCTGCCCTGCATCATTATCAAAGCATCCCTCCAGCAGATGCTTCCCAGACGTCTGTATGTGCACACGACTGTGCCAAGCACTCATTTAATCCTTCTAGTAACCGTAGTGGGGAGTTACTCTGCCTGTCTCAGGGGTGAGGACAGGGGTTTGGAGAGTAAGTGTCTTGTCCGAGGGGCGTGGACAGTTAGTTCACAGGAAAGGCATGCGGTTCGCTCATCTCTTCTCCCCTTTTTGCCCTGCATTCTACGAGGTAACGGGCTGCAGTGGGAAAGCAGACAGCCACAGCCTCTGTCCTCCTAGTGAGAAGAAACAGGTGGGTTCTGCTATTTAGGCAAGGGGGAAAGGGCAGATCACGACGTATGGTATTTTGTTGATTGAATTGGCCGAGAGTTCAATGACGGTGCCTCGGTGCTAGGGCAGAGCGAGAGACACCCACGCACACTGATGGAGGTGAGACTGAGACAGCTATAAGCAGTGTGGCAGCTTATGCCCAGAATTGCTCAAATGCTCAAACCCTCTGACTCAGTAATCCCCTTCTTAGAAATCTGTCCCAGGGAAGTAATCAGGGGTTTAGTCAGAGATTTGTATACACAGGTATTCATCCACAGCTTGTTTATACAATTCAAATTTTGAAAATGGCCCAAATACTCAACAAACAGTAGGAGAACTGTTTATTTTATTTGACACTTATGTGGCACTGACTTAGTACTTTGCCTATATTAATTCGTTTAATCCTCCTAACAAGCCCGTGCAGTGGGTACTATTACTGCCCCATTTTAGAGATGAAAAAATGAATGCCCGGGTCACACAGCTCAAAAGGATTGGAGGCTGATCTGAAGCCAGGCCGCCTGGCGCCAGACCCCGTCTCCTCGCTGCCATTCCTATTTAGGACGACATTCATGCTGTGGAATGTTGTGCAGCCTTTGAACATTGTTTTTACCAATTTCCACTCTATAATATCTTGTGAAGGTTACAAAATTAGATGACATGGTTTCATTTTTGTGAACATGTGTATTTAAAAGAAGAAAGAGACAAAGGTCTCTCCTCCAGCCTTCTCCCCCAACCCCCACAACAAGTGCTTGTGGATTGTATCCTCAGTGCTCAGGCCCTTGTCAGGTGTAGAAAGTACAGAGATGCATCAGACATCAAGACGCTCCTTGTCTAGTGAGGAAAGTAACTGCGTGATTCCCTCCAGAGAGAGAATCTGGTGAAGACTCAGAAACGAGCAGTTCTGCCTGGAGAGGACGGGTGTGGCCAGTGTGCATGGGCACAGGGGAGGCCGGGGTCAGCGTGGCTGCCTGGGGGCTCCCCAGAATCCGGTGCTGCTGGAGCATGGCGTCGTGGGGCAGGCTGGGGGCCACCACACGGAGCCGTTTTCATGAGAGGAGCTCTGCACCATGACGGCATGTAGCCTACTTTGTTTATTCTGGTATTAGTGAAATTTGCATGCTCTTATTTATGTTAAGTCCAGATATCTCTGGTTTCTGTGTTCTGGATGCATTTTGGGGGTTGGGATTTGTAATTGGACCATTTGCTGCTTTGGTAAGACAGCCAAGTACATATAAGCTTTACTCTGCCAGGAAGCACGAATTGGTGCCTACTGTTTTTCATCCTGGGGCAGAGGGTCTCTCAGGTAAGAAGAAAACTCGCTTTGCTGCTAGGAGAAGAGGTGACACGCACTTTTTCCGGTGCTCTGCGTGGCCGTGGCACGGGTGCTGGGCCTGTTAGCTGCACACCTGTGGAGAGAAGGGGCTTTGCTGGGGCAGCTGACCTGGGTTTGTCATCACTGATTTTGAGAAACTTGCTGAAACTGGGGAACTTGCAGCTCTTCTTACTCAGAGGACAGTTGTGTTATGAAAGGAAGGAACTCAATACAGAATATGTCAGCGATTTTCAAACCAAGAATGAAACTGTTTGGTTTTGTTTTCATTTCTTCAGAAGCCTGACGTGCGGCTCTCTCGAGGCAGCATCGACAGGGAGGATGGGAGTCTTCAGGGCCCGGTAAGCAGCTACCTGAGTTTTTACCAGGATTTGGACCACCCTTTTTATGTCGTAAGATATCCAAGCTTCCTGATATTTATAATATGGAACACAGTAATCTGTTCTATAAATGCAGTGAATGTTTTAGCTGAGATGATTATAACATAATGGGACCCAGCCCAGCATTCTGTTCAGATGCGAGCGTTTTCTACCCCATTACTAACACAGTCTTTTCAATAGCAAGATGGACTCTCTGCACCCTAAAGAAATATGTACACATGTTAACTGTTGATGTGCACAAGTTGTCATTTGCTAAATTTTTATTACTCTTATTGCATGGTTATATAAGTTTCCACAGTCACAGAAAAGTTGTTCAAGCAAGACTTTTTTCCTTCTGGGTGTTGTGGGGGCAAATGCCTGAAGTTCTCTTTAAAGAGCTATCTTAATGCTTATTCCAAATGTATTTAAAGACTGCTAGAAATATTCCCTGGTCTTTGGGGAAGAGTAGTTAAAATTGTTTTGTTAGGATTTCCATCAACAGATGTCTCGTTAAAATAAATGCAGATTTCTTTAAACACTTGAAGTTCCCAGTAAAAAAGGGAACCCAGTGCCTGCCAGGTAACAGACTTACAGAGATAAATTTCCAGCCTAATAAGGCTTCTGGGTAGACGTAAACCATTAGTTTACTTCTAGACACATATGCATACATACATACATGAGACTGTGTCACCTGGCTCCAGGATGCATAGTAAGGAATGAGGCTACCAGGAGTTTTCCCTCATCTGTTCTATAAAATCTAACTGCCCTGAGATCTGGCCCCTAGAAGATGGGCTCAGTCACCGGCATGTGAAGGTTTGGCATTTCCCATCAGAATGTGCTGCGCAGTGGGCTCTACAGACAGTGTTAGGATTCCTTAGTCCATGAGCACAGAGTCACCTTATCTGCCATTTACCGTCTCCACGCTTGGAGCTCCTTCCTTGTATTGAAAAGATTCACATGTAACGAGCAGTCTGTCCTAAACTGTTAAGAAGAAAGAGAGAATCAGCATGAAAATAAACCCTGTTCAAGGGGCCAGCTATTTAGAACATTACAAATAGGAAAATTTATCAGAAAAGGAAAATTCTGTGTGTTCCAGTCTGTGGCACATAGAAGGCACCCAGAAAATATGTGGAAGAAATGAATAAATGAATGAACTAGACCTGATTCAGAAACACTTTGTAAAACAGATAACGTGTGACAGGTCCACTTGTGATCTCGTAGCATTTGTTGCAGGCTGGGCCTAGGCGACAGTAAGAGTGCTTAGTACTGATGGAGAAGGTACTTAGTACTGTGAGGTGCTGTGCTGAGTGCTTTCCTTATGTCATTTCACTGAGTCCTCAGCACTCCTGTCAAGTCAGACACTGTTGCCATCCACACTCCACAAATGAGTAAACCAAGGCTCATAGAAAATTTGCCTGAGGTCACCCGTCACAGTGCCAGATGTCAGTGCACTCATGAACATGTTGTCAAACGGCCAGCCTGGCTTGGCAGGCTTCCCCACTTGGAGGTATGTGGTTGAGGTTGTTGTTACTCCTTCCTGGGGGCTGACACACTGTGACCATTTCTGGTTTCTTCTTTTCTGACCTGTGCTAAAGATAACTCTCTGGTTTGCCCTCTTGAAGCACTCCCACTTAAGACTTTGAAGATGCGCTGTGGTTTCAGGGAGAACCCTTGACTAGAAAGCAGTGTAGGTTGTAAATAGGTACAAGCTAGTTAATAAACACTAATAACTGGCTAGAGGAAACTCATCCCATCAGTTTGCATAAAGGGAAAAAACTATTTGGATTTTCCAAACAGTGTACAGATTGACAGCATATTCGTTTTGTGACAACAAGCCCATATTAGGTAACTGATATTGGCCTCAGTCTACAAATGGGAAAACCAACGCACCGAACAGTTGAATGGCTCCTCCAAGGCCAGCAGCTAGATAAGTGGCAGAAGCGAAGCACAGCCTGACTCCCCACACTCCTCCCGTCAGACTTCTGAAAGCAGGGCCTTTTCTGTGCCCGCCCTTCCAGAGCAAACCTGTGGAACTGCCTAGCACAGGGTGGTATGCATACATCTGTTGCATTAATCCAGAATATTCTGAGAATAGAATTTTTAGTTAACTTTCTCGTTACCTGAATATTGACCAGAAAATTCTTTGTGTTTTAAACCTTTTTAAATGTGTGTGTTTTACTGCCTGGGTCAGTGAGCACGGCACGGTACAGCCAGCAGACTGTGTCTGTTTTACGTTCTGGCCGTGTTCCGCACTGTTCTGCCCTCACCCACTCCTCTCTAGCCACACCGGCCGCCTCAGTTCCTCAGCACTCGGTTTGGGGCCTCTGGGCTGCTCTTCTCACCACCCCAATCAAGCCTGTGCTCATAGGTCACGTTCTCAAAAGGCCTGACCACTTAGAACTGCAATTTTCTAGCCTTCCACCCCCATTCCCGTCTCTTTCTTCATCGGACGTAGCCCCTGTAACACGCTGTACAATGTGCTGTCGTGTGTGGTTATTGTTTGTTATCTCTCTCTCTGCACTCTGCTGTCAGCTCCAAAAGGACAAGGCTCTGTGTGTGCCTGGGACAAAGTGGTGTTCAGTAACTGTCGAGTAAATAAATGACAGGTAAACTGTGAAGTGCTGCACAAAAGTCACACCTTCCAGCTCTGAGGGTTTTGCAAGTCTTTAAAATCAGGAGTGTTAAATGGCATGTTGAAAGCAACTGTGATTCTGGGAGAGGAGCAGTTTTAATTGTGTGTGCCGTTTCATAGTCCTTGTGTTATGAAGTGAACCTCTTTTCATAGAAAGTAAAGCACCTTAAAATACATATTTTTTAATCATTTATCTTTTTAAAATAAGCAAGGAAAGTGTCTCTTTTCAGAGGTAGAATGTAGTTCTAAAAATATTTCTTTTTGTTTGGTTAGCCTAGGATAGGTGGTTTTAAATGTGATTACAGGTATGACGACCCGCAGTCAGACTGGTCTTAAGTGGCAGTGTCTTTTTGTCCTATCCCTGGGGCAGAAATTCAGGGCTTACAGTTTGTCTTCTTGGCTTGGCCTGTGGCTTGGTCCAGACTGATGGAGGTGTAACACCAGGTCCTGACACACACAGGGCTTCAGGTGACAAGTGACAGCAGAGGCACATGGAATGTCTAGACACCCCAGTGCTATGAAATCTCTTCTCATCTTCATTGTTCCTGATTGCACCCCTTCTTGTAATAAGAGAGGTCGGGAGGTTGGGAGGGAGCTCTCTGAGCAAAGCACCCCAAAACTGGGAAGGCCGGGATTGCACACTCCTGAAAGGTGAACTGGAGACATCCATGGATGTACTTTTTTTAAAGAAACTTTTAAATTTATTGTGACTACCCCTGCTCATGTTCCCATGGGACCCCCTGCTTGCTTCTGTCACAGCCCTGATCCCACGCCCTGTTGATGTTATTTACTTATTTGCCTAATTGCCTAATCCCCCACCCTCACCTGAGGCCTTGAAGGCAGCCCCCGCCATCTTGTCAGTCTCTGAACCCAGCATTTAGCACAGATGTCCTAGGGGATGGATGGGGAGGGAGGGAAGGAGGGAAGGTCATTACCCTGTTGTGCACACCAGTTCATTGACCGAACTTTTCTTTTCCCACAGACTGGAAACCAACACATATATCAGCCTGTGGGTAAACCAGGTAAATGAAGAAATGAATTGTGTGTCAAGAAGTTTGTATAATTTGGAGGGAGTGGGTCTTAAATGTATATAGTTTCCTAGCTTTGGAATACCTCATGATTTTTTAACACTTTTCCCTCTATGGACCATAGCAAGTATGATGCTTAACCAAATTCAGCCCATGACTAGAATATTATAAAACAGAATGTATTGCTATAATGCATCAGAAATGCCTCTGTAGGAGGCCCCCTCTGAGATTAGCGTCTGTTGTAATAACACGAATCCATGCTTGTTGTTGTCTACGTTCTCTTTATTACCGTACGTTACCTAATAGACCTCACTGCATTTTACCAGATCCTGCGGCTCCACCAAAGAAGCCGCCGCGCCCCGGAGCCCCCGGTCACCTGGGCAGCCTCGCCAGTCTCAGCAGCCCCGGGGACAGTTACAACGAGGGCATCAAGGTGGGTGTCCGAGCCTGGGCTCTGCTCGAGGCTCTGTGGAGTCCTTTCGCGTTCAGCTGATGACGGGACTCTGCAGGGCAGGATCATGTTGGCTCCAGGAGTCAGTTTGGGCTGCTTCTGACCCCTCTAAGAGTCAGAAACAAGCTTTATAGGAAAATTTTTCTTTCCCATTTTTCTCTCACATGATAGATTCTAGGGCCTCAGTCAGATCCTAGCTTTCTAAATACGTTTTCCTCTTATCAAGCAGAATGTTTCTTTGGAATAAAGTCCTAGGATGGCTTCTGGTTTTAAAAGTTAATTAAACCAGGGTGCCTGGGGTAAGTGAAACCTTCTGTAGGCTCACCATCTCCAAGCTTGTCAGTGTGGCTTAGTGAAAACTTCTATCATTTTCCAGGTAGGGTCAGAATTGCTTTTGTAATAGCAGTGTTTGCTGAGTGTGCTGTGTGGAGCTGGCCCTCCACACGGATGAGGGGAGTGTGTGGCTCAGGCGCAGACAACCACAAGCCTCTCCCTGGCTCAGGAGCACTTCCCTCACTGCCTGCCCCTGGGCAGGTGTGAGTGGGGCCACTGGGGTCCCTGACCCTCTCGGGGCCCCACCAAGCCCCGCAGGGTGCTGGGCTCACTAGAGCACCTTGGAAGGGCTCTCCTCTCTGAGAGAAGCAAAGAGGCTCTCCTCTCTGTCGTGCCCCTTTAAGGAGAGGCGATCTCTCTACTTTCCGTGAGAGACCAATTACCTCTCAAAATATATCCTGTTTCTTAGTTCTGATACATTTTTTCACGTTTTAATCTTTCTAAAATCAGGATGGTGTATTGGTTTAATTGGCAGCATTCTTTTTTTTCTTAGTGGTACATTAAAAAAGGTGCATCTTACAATGGATGGCATGTCCGAGTCTGATAACGGTGATAGCAGTTAAGATAACCTTTTTTCACTAGTAACCACCGTTCATTGAGTGCCCTCCCTGTGCCAGTGCTGTGGCAGAACCAGCACCCTGTACTGTAAATCTTCACGGCAGCCTCGCAGGACTGCTGCTGGTGTTTTCCCGCTTTTCACATGAGGGCCAAGGTTCACAGAGATTGACGAGCATGTTCAAGGTTACAGCCTCCCCATAGCTGAGCCAGCGTTTAGCCGTAGACCTGTCTGTGTGCATGTTGTGCACTTCTGCTCCAAGGTTCCTCTCCAAAGCTGACAGGCTGCTTCCTAGACAGAAGCAGGTATATTGCCATCTTGGGCAGTCAGAGAGGTAGGCCTAGAGAAGAGAAAATGGCATCTCCAGGCACAGGGTACGAGTCAGCCTACAGCCCAGAGAGCAGTGGCCAGGGGGTGAAGGGGCTGGCACTGGCTGGGATCAGCCTGCTCCCTGCAGGGCGTAGCACAAGTACCACTGAGCCAGAGGTGGCCCTGCTCCGAGCTCCCAGAGTGTGTGCTGGTGGATCATCAGCTCCTGGAAGTCAGAGTGCTGGTCCTGGAGCACTGCCCAGGGGCTTGGCATCAGGTGGCTCCCCCAGCTCACTGGGCCTCCCTTCCCAAGGATGCCTTCCCAGCAACTCTGCTAGCACCACACCAGGTATTCTCTGGGGAGGAGCAAAGGAGGACACAACCCTTCCTAATGTGGTTTCTTGACATAAATTTAAAAAAGAAAGAAGGAGAAATTAGGTTAATGAACTTTTTTTCATTGCCACAAAAGCAAACTTTCAAAATGACTTGTATTACGATGAAAAACCAACTTTAGAAGTCGATCAGATACTAGCTTAGAATTCTGACATTTATTTATTTTTCACAGTTGGAATAACATATTAATAAATATAATTGGGGAGTACCCTTAAAATGGGGTATAAAGCAAGTAGAAATCTTAATGGAACTAGTATACTTACTTAAAATTTTTTTTTTTCCCCCCAAAGCCCCAGTAGATAGCTGTATGTCATAGCTGCACATCCTTCTAGTTGCTGTATGTGGGACGCGGCCTCAGCGTGGCCGGAGAAGCGGTGCGTGGCTGCGCGCCCGGGATCCGAACCCGGGCCGCCAGCAGCGGAGTGCGCGCACTTAACTGCTAAGCCACGGGGCCGGCCCCACTTAAAATATATTAAGTAAAGGTTTTTTAATAATTAAGTATGAAGTATATGTCTGTTTCTTTCTTATCCATCTGTTTGTTAGAGGTTATCAAATCCAGCCCAAAAGAACAATACTATTTTATACATAAATGCTTGCCTTTAGCTAGGGATGACTTAACTAATTCGTCCAAATAACATTTAGCCAGAAATTGCTCTTGAGTTTTCTTGAGTGGCTTTCCGTCTTGGTTCTGAGTTATCTGAGTCTTTAAGCAGCCACCTCTGTGGTTGGCTGCATCTCTGCAGGCGGTGGTTTATCCTAACTGCCTGCCGGGGAGTCTCCACGTTGTCAGCCTCCAGAAAATAGGAAACCAATAACAGATGTCTCTCCAAACTAAGCTTTTGCTTCCAGAATGGTCCCTGGAAGCATCGTGACAGTGCCTCTGTGACAAGAGTTGAGCAACAGCTCAATACAAAAGAACAGAAGCTCGAAACAGGTTAGAATGAACGGCCTCCACCTCCTAGAGTCTAGAATTGTTGTAGTTCTTGACGGGCCTCTGCCTGCGGCACCTCCCTCAGGAAGCCCTGTACCTTTTACGTTGATCACTTTGAACTGGCACATCCTGCCCCATTAAACGAGGACTGCATGTGACACTCAGTACAGAAGGTGAAATACAGGGACATTGTCTCTTGGAAATCCTGCAGTTACAAATGACCTCTTTCTAGTGCACAGGAAAAACACATTGAGGTGGGTTGGACCTCGAAATTTAGGATTCTGCTAAACTGGTGTGCCGAAGGGTGTACTTTTCTCAGATGATCTAAGGAAAGGTCCAGTATCCACATTTCCCCCAATTGACTCTGCCTGTTAAGTTACAGTGGGAGAGCCTTGGTTTAAGCTGTAGAGAAAAAACATTAAATAAAACTTTTAAGTTTAAAGTAAAGGAACCTAACTATAAGAATTGGTTCAAAAGAAGGGTTTTTTGTTTTAGTTTGTTTTGTTTTTGTTTTTAAAATAAGCTCCTAATGTTTTTAAACACAGCCCCAAGCCAGGAATCTTTATTATGGTGGTATGGCTAGATGACGAAGCCTATTTCCAAGGATGTTGGGGTCCGAGGCACAGGTTGAGGGTTGTGCGGTTTCTCCTGAGTCACTCAGAGTCCAGTGGGCAGTTTTCAGTGATTACGAGCATATATCTGCCTTCTCTCTTTTTAAAGACCCCTCATTCTTTTGATTCTTGCACGGCTGCCAGATGGTCACTCTCAGGCTTTGCACGTTGTTTTCCTCATTTATTTCGTGAAAACAAGCGTGGTGCATGGCAGACTCTGGACTGAGTGTTCTGGGGCCCTGAACAGATGGCACAGCAGTTACGCTTTCATAACCAGCGACCTGGGAGCTAATAGGCAGAAACTCACACCTTTTTGTTCTGCTTATGTGTTTTTATGGGGGTTTTGTCTGCTGCCTTTATTAATATTGTTTTTCTTTTTTCCCTTTCTCTGATAAATTTCTTTAACTTTTCCTCACCTTCTGTTCGACAATAGCCGTGGAGGGTAAGCACTTTGTGTGTGTGTGTCTGTCCAGCTCTTCACCATGCCCAGCGCTCTGCCTGTGACTCTGGCCCAGAAATGGGCAAGCAGGGAAGGGCGCTGTGGCTTGATCCATCACCAAAAGCAGTGTTTCTGCATGCCGGAGAGTGAGATGCGAGCCTCCTTGCAGTGATGGCACTACTCCTGTCCTTTTCTGTCTCACGCCCAGACCTGGGGCACCCAGGTTCCAGGCTCCTGGGGTGAAGTCAGCCCGAGGGTTCAGAAATGGGCACCTGGGCTTTTAGACTGAGCACTGGCAGCAGATTCATGAATAAACAACTGTTATGTACTGTAGTTTCGTCTTCTTAAAATATACATATATGATCCTTTTTCTGTAGCCTAGTGTAGCCAATTTGAATTTTTAAATTTCCCAAAGGCCCTTGGGTAGCCTTCAGTGCCCAGGTTATCTTGGATGAGATTTGTTGATGTCTCTCTGTGCCCGGGCCCTGGGGTGGGCATTTTTACATGTGTTCCTTCATCCCACCTTTGTCACTACTGCTCGGTGAGGGAGCTGAGGTCACTACAGCAGGACGTGCTGTGCTGGGCTCCTGAAGGCTCCCCCAAGGCTCTCCCTTTAGCAGTGGTCTGCAAGCAGATGTTGTCCTCTTAAAGAAGATTTGTATTGTAAAAGGAACACACGTTTCATGAGGTGGTTTGAAGGCAACTAAGCTGGGCCAGACAGTTTTTACTGCAGAATTCAAACTAAGTGGAAATTCTGAGTCTTAATGTAAAACGCTTAACCTCTTAGCCAGCTTTCTCTAAAATCCTGAGAGAGATGTAAAATGTATGGATTCTTTCTCTTTTGGTGAATGATTTCGGGGGAGACATTGAATCACTTCTCTGAAAGAATCTGGGGCTTTTAGTATATATGTATGATTCCATCTCATTTCCTTTAACTGAGCTCAAAGTTAGAAAAAATTATTGTGTCATTTATTTGCACTTGGATGAATTACTTTACTGTCATCCTCAAACTGCACTATATCCCATACAGACAAGAAAATCAATCATGTGGTCTGCTTTGATCTCTTTTAAAGACCCTTTCTAACCTAGTTGCAGTGAAATGACGCCATCTGCTGGAGAAGAGAAAGATAACCAGTTTCTGTGTTGGCAGCTTCAGCCCCAGGAAATCAGCCCCCCTCCCACTGCCAACCTGGACCGGTCCAATGACAGGGTGTACGAGAACGTGACGGGCCTGGTGAAAGCTGTCATCGAAATGTCCAGTAAGATCCAGCCAGCCCCGCCAGAGGAGTATGTTCCCATGGTGAAGGTAAAACAGTCATGCCCTGTGCCAGAGAAATTGTTCCTCTTACCATGGAAGCTGCGGTGCCCTTGAAGTCAGACCTGATGCTTCAGAAGGTGTGCGCAAAGGCACCGTGTCAAGTCAAAACCGCGGTCACGCGAGTTGCTATTCCTGACCTTGACCCTAGGATAGGAATGTCCTAGAGCAACAGAGTCTTTTAATAATTATTGCTCACACATACAATCTTGAGCAAAAAAAGCAAGCTGCAAAAGAATCCTTACAGAAGGATGGCATTTGTGTAAAGTTTAAAAGCCTGCCCACTAATTCTCTGTAAGACTTCAGGAGATGTGGTTATGTTGTTGGAGTGCCAAGACAGACGTGGGAGTGTAATCACCCAGTGCACGAGTGTGCCCTGAGGAGGGGGCGGTCGTGGAAAGGGACTTTGGCAGATTTATCTGTACTATTTTTCTTAAGCTGAGGGGTAGGTATATGGGTGCTCACTGAATTTTTTTTTGGTAAAGATAAAAAGAAATGAAAATATCGTGCCAGTAGACTAACTTTCTCCAAATGGTGTTCGATGGAACGGTGGTCCTGGGAGACAGTACCAGCAGCTTTGTGAAGAAGGATGCTGGGCTCAAGGAAGCGTTGGATGCCTCCCCGCTCAACAGTGCTCACTGTGTTGCAGGAGCTCAGAGCTGTCCTGTGGTTCAAAGAGTGCCGTTCAGTTTTGCCCTGAGCCAGTATTTCTGAAACGTACTTGAACACACTTTTTTTTAGTTGTGGTAAAATACATATGACATAAAATTTATCATCTTACCATTTTTAAGGGTACAGTTCAGCAGTGTTAAGTACATTCACATTGTTATACAACTAGTCTCTAAAACTCTTTTCATCTTGCACAACTGAAACTCTGTCCCCATTAAACAACACCTGCCCTCTCCCCCCGGCCCCGGGCACCCACCATCCTACTTTCAGCCTGTGTGAATTTGACTATTCTAGGTACTTCATATAAGTGGAATCATACCGTATTTGTCCTCTTGTGACTGAGTTATCTCACTTAGCATAATGTCCTCAAGGTTCATCCATGTTGTAGCATGTGTTAGAATTTCCTTCCTTTTTAAGGCTGAATAATATTCCTTTGTATGGATGGGCAGCATTTTGTTTATCCATCCATCCATCAGTGGATACTTGGGTTGCTTCCAACCTTTTGGTTATCGTGAATAATGCTACTATGAACCTGGGTGTACATATGTCTCTTTGAGACCCTGCTTTCAATTCTCTTGGGTATATACTCAGAAGTGGAACTGCTGGATCGTATGTTAATTCTATTTTTAATTTTTTGAGGAAACACCATACTGTTTTCCATAGTGACTGCACCATTTTACATTCCCACCAACAGTGTACAAGGATTCCAAATTCTCACCAACACTTGTTATTTTCTGTTTTGTTTTTTGATAGTAGCCATCCTCATGGGTTTGAAGTGGTATCTCATTGTGGTTTTGATTTGCATTTCCCTAATGATTAGTGATCGTGAGCATCTTTTCATGTGCTTTTTGGCCATTTGTGTATCTTTGGAGCAGTGTCTGTTCAAGTCCTTTGCCATTTTTTGCATTTGAGTTGTGGGACTGAACACCCTTTTTAGTGTAGCTGTTAGCCATCTCTGGAACAGCTTTTTATAAACCATCAGTGTGGAATAGCTGTTAGAAAGGTGTGATATTTTGTGGAAAGCACAGTAATCCATTCTGGTTGGTGTTTTTTTTTTTGTTTTTTTGGTTTTTTTTGAGGAAGATTGGCCCTGAGCTAGCATCTGTTGCCAATCTTCCTCCTTTTTTCCATTTTTCTCCCCAAAGCCCCGGTAGATGATTGTATGTCATAGTTGTACATCCTTCTAGTTGCTTTATGTGGGATGCTGCCTCAGCATGGCTTGATGAGAGGTGTGTAGGTCTGCACCCAGGATCTGAACCTGTGAACCCCAGGCTGCCAAAGTGGAGCACGCAAACTTAACTGCTACGCACCAGGCCAGCCCCTGGTTCATTTTTTAACTATACTCCCAGAACAGTTATAACCAAAGTTCTTCAGGGTGAACGTGCATGAACCCACAGACAAGCTTAAAAAAACAAAAAACAAAAACTCACCAGTATATAGAAGCAGTCAGAATTTTGTATACAATCAGACTTTTTATAGTGATTTTTGTAGAAGCCACTTTTTAACCATATTACTTTGGCCCAATGACACCCCTTTTATATGTTGATCCAACTATAAATAACTTCATCATTTTCTTACTGGTTTTATTCATACTGTGTGTATAATTTAGTGTCTGAGTCATTCCACAAGAATGACAACGATAAAAATGTAAACTCTATAAAATCATACTACTTTTGGACCGGCCCCATGGCTTAGCGGTTAAGTGCGCGCGCTCTGCTGCTGGTGGCCCGGGTTCGGATCCCGGGCGCGCACCGATGCACCACTTCTCTGGCCATGCTGAGGCCGCGTCCCACATACAGCAACTAGAAGGATATGCAGCTATGACATACAACTATCTACTGGGGCT